CACCAAAACTACCACAGTGTGGTCATGTGACCGGGGATTATTTTCAAACCAGATCCGTGCTATACTAGTTTAAACCCACCCATATATGGAAACAGGAGACGGGCAAGGGAAAGTAGCTGACAAAAAGAAATCCTTAGACACAACCTGTACCTTACTAAGATGCAGCTCTGCCATCCAGATTTCTGCCCATCATCTGAGTACTCGCTGACACACACGTCACGGATCACTGTTCAGCACAGCTGACCATGGAGGAAGCAGCAGTAACAGTAGAGACACTGGCAACGCTATCCGCAATAGACACTATGACAGCACATAAATACACACACAAACACACACCTCAGACCTCAGACATGCCCATCGCGGAAGCGATGATAGCGAACAGCTATGTTAGACATAGTGATTTGTGCTGGGATCACACCATTCAACAGCTTGCAAGGCTGATGAATTGACCGCCACTTGACTAGCCTGGTAACCACCACACAGCTGTTTGAAGCGACTTGTTCTGGCCAGTGAATCCCTATTATCCATTTTTCCATTTTTTTCACACACACACACACACATACAGAAAGAGACGTGACTGCTGCAGCCACATCAACAGCAGCCACATAAACAGCAGAAACAGCAGCAGTAGCATAGAGGTAGGAGGCAGAAATAGCAGCAGCAACAGCAACAGGAGCAGCAGCAACAGCAACAGGAGCAGCAGCAACAGCAGCAGCAACAAAAGCGAGAGCAACAGCAGCAGAAGCAGAAGCAGCAACAATAACAGCAGCAGCAGCAGCAAAAACAGCGACAGCAACAGCAGCAGCAACAACAGCAGCAGCAAGAATAACACACAAACACATACACACCTGTCCTGTCCTGTCCTATCGAGCCACTGGCACAAGGGTCACGTGGGCCTGGAGTAGCAACGGAGAGAGAAGAGGAGAACGCCGTCCCACGGCGTCCAGGACACAACGAGAGGTCGTCAGGATTCAGGTCACCTACAACTGTTACCGAAAGACTGACGTATGGCCGGGGAGAACTTGAGCAGCGGTGTCTATTCCTGCCCTGGCCCGAACGGAAGCAGCGGCCGCATGACGCACAGTGTGCGCCACAACACGCCTCCACTGCGGCTGGAGACTAAGCCACACACTTGTGACGGGCAAGGCCAACACACACACACACACACACACACACACACACACACACACACACACACACACACACGAGCAGCAACAGTAGCACAGAAAGCACAGCACAGAAAGACAATGGAGTCAGGAGAAATAGCACCACCAGTAGCAATATCAATGGTTTAATAATACTTCAGCGATCACCCACTCGTATACATTTTATAAGAAGCTGTAAAGTCAGTTGAAGATACTCTTTGACATACCTTGTAGTAGTCACATCCATCTGCTACACAGCTGCAGAAATAACAGGACGACCGCTCTGCTGTTGATACGATAACACAAACATATCTGTAGCAGTGCAACGGGAAAATTCAGGAAGAAAAAAAAGAAACAAAAAGCAGCAACATTCAGTTGCATAAATAGCAGCACCAGCAGCAGTAACAACAGGACAAGCACCATCACCAGCAGCAACAGTAGCAGCAACAGTAGCAGCAGTAGCAACAGTTGCGGGATCATCACCATCACCAGCAACAGCACCATCACTAGAAGAAAAATGACCGGGTCGAGCACTCGTCTGCAGTACAGTACGGCATCATGGAATCATATGAGGATACAATTAATCACTTCCCTGGTTAATCAATATTGGTCATGTTACGCTCTTGTCGTGAAAATAGCAAACAATAATGTGTGGTGAATATTGTACAGTTACCAGTTGTAACAAATAGCAGATTATTAACAATAGAAAGTCTACTTACTCACTTCACTACAGTCTTCTGGCAGATATACTTGCATTAGAGCGTTCGGCACACAACTACCACCATCTTTGCCCTCCAATCCTGTGATTTTCCCCGGCAGACGAATGCTGCTGAATGCCACCGAAAGATCACCTCCTCTGAATCACCAACTACAGCAATCGAACATGGTTGAACAAGCGGTCACGTGCTCCTGCGTACACCAGTCATCTGGTCACCGTGCCTGTAGGGTACAACTTACTAGCCTGTTTGACCTTTTTTGGATGCACTCCTGTCACTCGAGTTGAACTCGAGTTCAACCTTGGTGTGAAATTTGTCGCCTGCTGGCGTGGTGACCAGGTGATTTGGGCACCCAGGAGCACGTGACCGCTTGTTCAACCATGTTCGATTGGGAATAAAGGAGGAACGCTGCATCGCAGCATTTTCGGACCAAAACCAGTCGACTAAGCGTCCAAAAGACTACAACATATGGGCCAATCGCGGTCATCCGTGCTTTTATAAGAACGAAATGGCGCTTTTAGTTACATTTTGCATACAAATCCCCATCTAGTAGGGCGCAGTCACCCAGTTTCGGTGGAAGTGCGCGAGTTCGATTGGGATTCAAGTAGGAAGGGAGCGTCTCAGCTTCCTCGGACCAAGACCATTCGACTCAGCACCCCGAAGACAACAACTGGTGAAATTTTTTAATTTTTGCCTTAACTTCCCCTTAAAAAAGTACCTTTCATTTCTGAACCATCCCGGCATCCGTCCATCAACCAACAGATCACTTTGCATATGGAGACCATGGCAGAACAACCCGCTGCAATAAGAGCAACCACGCCGCCACTGCGGAAAGTACCCCTGAAACAGCAACAGCAGCAGCAGCAACAACACCAGCATTAGCGAACGCAACAGCACAGCAACAGCAGCAGAAACAGCAGCAGAAGCTACAGTAGTAGAGGTCTTGCCAGCACAGAAACAGTAAAGTTCATGCCAGCACAGCAACAGTACAGGTCTTGCCAGTACAGAAACAGTATAGGTCTTGCCAGCACAGCAACAATACAGGTCTTGCCAGCAGAGCAACAAAACAGGTCTTGCCAGAACAGCAACACTACAGGTCTTGCCAGCACAGCAACAGTACAGGTCTTGCCAGCACAGCAACAGTACAAGTCTTGCCAGCACAGCAGCTACATTAGTTGGCAGCACATCAATAGCTGCAGTAGCACTACCACCAGTATAGAAACACTTGCACTAGCAGCATCACCAGCAGTAAACGTCACATTCAGAAATGACAGTACATGACCAGCCGTCTTCAAGTTCTCACCAAAACTACCACAGTGTGGTCATGTGACCGGGGATTATTTTCAAACCAGATCCGTGCTATACTAGTTTAAACCCACCCATATATGGAAACAGGAGACGGGCAAGGGAAAGTAGCTGACAAAAAGAAATCCTTAGACACAACCTGTACCTTACTAAGACGCAGCTCTGCCATCCAGATTTCTGCCCATCATCTGAGTACTCGCTGACACACACGTAACGGATCACTGTTCAGCACAGCTGACCATGGAGGGAGCAGCAGTAACAGTAGAGACACTGGCAACGCTATCCGCAATAAACACTATGACAGCACATAAATACACACACAAACACACACACACACACACACCTCAGACCTCAGACATGCCCATCGCGGAAGCGATGATAGCGAACAGCTATGTTAGACATAGCAACTTGTGCTGGGATCACACCATTCAACAGCTTGCAAGGCTGATGAATTGATCGCCACCATTTTTAGCCTGGTAACCACCACACA